TGGCGGCGGCAGGGGCTCCTGCGCGCCCGGCAGACGGGACTTTGCCTCCCTCGGCGCCGGCAGCTCGGGAACCTCCTTCCATCTCGGCGGCTGCTCCCTCAACTGGGGGTCTCTCTCCCTCTGCTCGCTCTGCCTCGACTGGTGCTCGGGAGACCTCGATGGGCGGGCCATCAAGCGCGATTGGGGGGCTGTCCATGTTGACGGGAGCGTCGTCGACCCCACGGGGGGCGCTGCCGATCTCCAGTGGGGGTCGGGAGATCTCCACCGGGGGGCTGGTGCCCGCGAAGCCAGACTGCGCTCTGGTAGCCTCTCTGGCTGGGCGACCCGGGGCGCCGGGGACCCCGAGAGGGGGCGCGGCCGCGCTGGCAGGGAAGAGGACCGCACCCGGGGACGCGGCTGCCGCGAGCTGGCCGCTGCCGTCGAGCTCCGTGCTGGCTCCGGGGCGCCCGAGGGGTGGGCTGTCGCCCCCAGAGGCTGCTCCTTCAAGCTCAAACGGCACAGCCTCCTCAGGGGGAGGGCTGTAGCCTCCGAAGCCGGGGCTGGCGGGCCCGAGGGCTCGGGGCTGCTCGGGGGGTGCTCCAGGGACCCCCAAACCTGGGCTTTCCAGAGCAAGGGCTCCGAGCTGCATGGGAGCTGGGGTGATGTTTCCCTGGTCAGGCTGCTGCAACTCAAAGGGCATGGCTTCCTCTGGTGGAGGGCTGTAGCCTTCCAGGCCTGCTCGGGCACCCCTGAAGGCTCGGGCCTCCACAGCGGCTGGGCCCGAGGCTCCGAGGCCTGCACGCACCCCAGGCTGGGCTCCGTGCTGCTCCAGGGTAGGCCAAAAGCCTCCCGAGCTGGGCTGCTTGATATCGAAGGGCATGGCTTCCTCAGGAGGTGGACTGGCGCCTCCAAGGCCTCGGGCTTCCTCGATGGCCTCTCCGAGGCCCTGGGATGAGGGCCTGGAGACCTGTGCAGGCCCGCAGGCCTCGCTGTCACCCTCGATGGGGACGGGCTCGCTGACAGGTGGTGCGGTCTCCATCTCTTCGGCTGCGCGAGGCCCAGGACTGGGGGCAGCTGCCCCTGGGGCCTCCAGTGCCTGCTGGGGCTGCTCCCCGAGCTCAGAGGGGGTATCGCGTTGTCCTGACATAGTATTGCCGTGGAGGCAGCTGCGCACGCCCATAACACGGTGGCGGCCTCTTGAAATAATTTTGGGGCCCCGTAAGACGGAGCACCCAACCAAACTAGGGTGAAAAAAAATAAATAAAACTGAGAAGAAATCACAGTACTACCTCAAAAGTTCTCCAACCTCCAAGTCCAACCTCTGTGAGGTCTGGAGGTTCAAGGCCTTGAACCCCAGATAGTGGCAGAAACAAGCCTACTGCTGTTGGTGGAGTCTAGGCCCCTTCTTGGCCACTTTTTATCCCTTCAGGCTGCACCCGGCTCCCCCCCTTGTCCTGCCCTCGTCCCCTCCTCTGTCTCTGCAGCAGGCCAGCCCCGCCTGCCTGGGTCTGAGCAGCGCGCCGATTTCGTCCAAAAATCGCTGGCAGTACCCTCTCTCTGCCACCAGGGGATGCCTGTCCCAATGCCGGACCGGCTCCCCGAGCTGGCTTCTGGCGCCGGCAACCCGGGACTTTGGGTAGGGGGCTGGTGAGCGCAGGCCTCGCAGGGATGTTTTGGCTTCTTCCACTCCTCTCCCAGACCGATTTGGAGTCCTTCTCCTCGCCTCTCCCTCGGCCAGAGAGAGAGAGCTCTCCTGCGTTGCAGGACACGTGACGCAAGACGTGGGCCCCGGGCTGCTGGAACGCAGGAGCTGAAACCCCCCCTCCCGGACCCAGCACTCTTCTCCGGGTGGGAGGGGGGACTGCAGGAGGCTTTCATCACCCTAGGACACCCCTGAACCCCTCCGCCGCAGCCCCTCCCGGCTCCCCCCACCCCGGCAGCCGGGATCAGAAACAGCTCCGCGTCTCACGCGCGCAAGGCTCTAAGCACCGGGAAAGGTGGGCGCGGGTGCAGGGCGATGCGACAGGTGGTCGTCAGCCCACCCCAGGGGCCAGAGAGGAGGCAGGAGCGAGGGGATGCCGTGTACTGGCTGACTTTGCTTTTGAAACGCCTTAGGGCACTTTCCAGCCGGCTTCTGTTTGCTGCCTGCTGAGGCTGGTTCCGTTAAAGCGCTTCCATCCAGGTCCCCCAGCCCCACCACACTCTGGGGAGGAGGGAGGTGTCTCTGCAGTGGCCTAGGGCGGCGCAGGCAGAGGTCTCTTCCCCATCCCCTTTTCTGTGTCCTGTGATGCAGCGGAAAAAGAGGGTCTTGGGTGCACACCGCTGAAAGCCAGAGAAATTCCCCAGGCACCGCTGCCACGGACCTGGGGCGCACAGAGCACGCCGAGAGACCCCACGGAGCGCAGGCCTCAGAGTTCCACGGGCCATACCCCTCTGGGGAATGGTGAAAGAGGATTTGGGTTGGGGTTTGACGCCGGTTTGGGGTGGTCTCACCCCGCACAACCCTGCGCGCTCTACTTCTAAGCACTTCCACTGTGCCGCGCCCTGCCTCGCGGGCGCTGGCTACCCATCCGTTAGCCCCTCTAGCCCCCCTGTGACCCCAGTCCAGGCCCCCTACCGGCCCTTCTCCTATCACCCCGAGTTTCCCGGGGCGCTCGCTTTACTTTCCACTGCTAGCGCCCGTTCAGGCAGCACCAAGCCGGACCACAAACCCCGCAGCGCCAGCTGCGCTCCTGTTGCCGAAGCGCGCGGTAGGCTGAGTGCGCACAGGGAAATAGCCGTACCGCCGGGCGGGGTGGGTACAGACACCGCGCGGGGTCTGCCGTCTGCGCAGGGATGTAAGTCTGCAGGCAAACTTGCTCCTTGGGTGGCGCGAAACACTGCCCGCTGCCTCAGGGCAGTTTCGCGGGTCGGTGACAAGGAGCGTCAACCAGTTTTAGTTCCAGGGCCGCTGAGCAGGGGCCGAGTGGTCGATGGGGGACCACGGAGAGGGATGGCCAAATGACTGGCACACAGCATGGGCTGTGGCAGCAGGGCGCCTGGATCGCAGCATCCACGGGTCGCTACCAGGTAAACCATGGCTCGGTGCCGCCCCGTTAAGCCTAACGCACCCCTTTAGAGAGAGGGTACCACAGCCACACGCGTCAGGTGCCCCCCACTACCTGGATCCACCAACCCTGTGCCTGCAGGGGTGGAGGCCAGTTCACAAAGTCGGACCCGTGGGTAACGCTTGGGGACCCCCAAAGGCACATCTCCATCCTGTATAGGTCTACACACTTCCAAGTACCATCACTGAACTTTCTTCGCTCAAACTTTGGCCAACTACCCCCACCAGCAATGGCTTAACCTCTTGGGAACCCACCAAATGGGCCAACTGGATCTCAACAGCCAACGCACTCCCCCTGCGACCCCTGTGCAGGGTCAGCCATTGGGCTGGGGTCACGCCAATCAAGGCCGTCTGGCGAATGAACAGGGGGCATCGGACCGGAAACCGGATATGAAGGGGAGGTCCAATAGGGGGCGCCGCGTTGGAACGCCCAAAGAGGTTGTGCTGCTGGGGTGGCTGGAAGGCGTCGGTGGGCGGGCGCATGGCGGGCAGACCTGGGAAGCCACGAGGTCGCCTGGCGCCGTAGGGGTCATTCTCCCTGACTCCACGGGTCACAGGAGCTGGGTGGGGAGGTCAGGGGTCCCCTCAGGGGCCTACCCTTGGTCTCCCAGATGGCGGTGGGCGAGTCTGCTCAACACAAGGGGCCGCCACTGGGGCAAGGCGAGGAGAAAGGAGCTTGTCAAGGCTTGGAAGTCGAGGGCCGGGACCCTGACCCCGGTACAGAGCCGCGGCCCAGATGGATAAGGAGTTGAGACCCAGGGAAGGTCAGTAGAGGTTGAGGTTGGAGCCCCAGGGAGGCCGCGCTGGGGATCCCCGAAGGGACGGCGCGGTCTCGCAGGCAGCCTCCGCCACTTGCGTTGGTGCACACTGGCCCCCATCGCGTGATGGGTGCGAGCCTCTTTGTTGAACGCGCCCGTGGGCCTGTGGGACCTCACTCTTCAACACTCTTGGGTCCCCTTGGGTCTTTGCCTGGGGAGCACCTACACGGGGGGGTGGTGGTGGTGGTGGTAAGGATTGGGCAGACCCTGATCCTCATTCTAGAGGAATCATAAAAATCAAAGAAAAGGCCAGCTGCCAACTGGGGAGCCTTCTGGGGAGGAAGGGGCTCCATGGGGCTCCGTGGAGAGATGCCCCCTGGGCTGGGAAGAGAAGGGGCAGGGAACAAAGGGTCCAGTGGTAGGCAACATGGGATGTGGCCCCGCAACAGGCCGTCTTAGCTGGTACCTGGAGCAGCAAGAGACAGAAGGCAGGAAGAATTGGAGAGGATTCTGAGGACGCCATGGAGGACAGGCAGTCTAGAGGCTACTGGGCTCACAAATGGAGAAGACGTTGCAAGTGACTTTTGTCCTGCAAGAGATGACTTGAGGCCACTTTTAGGAGCAACTGAGGCAGCGTGGCGGGTGGTTCTGCTGAAGAGAACGAAGAAGGGAAAGTGGGGTTATGCACAAAAGAGGTCGTGGCTGGTGGACAGTGAAGGAGGCGCAGAGGCAGAGAAGGCCCGGACTCAGGAGGGATCCCGGGGACCACGGCATCTGCTCTAGAAGGGCACAGAGGTGGAGGGACCAGAGGCTGGCACTTGAATGGTGGGACACTGGGAGTCTGGGGGAGCTGGCGTGGTGGGGAGCTGGCTTAGTTTTAGACATGGCGGCGCTGAAGGAAGGGTGGGCAGGCTACACGGAGGGCTTTACAGCAAGCACATTATTTGGGAGGATGGGTCTGAAGTTTAGAAGGGAAAGACCCTCAATTCAGATTGACAGCTGTGCTTATTGGGAGATGAACTCATTGGACCCAGTAAAACTCTTGTGGGGAGAAAACTGGTGATCGAATCTTGAGTAGAACCAGAGTTAGAAGCATTGGAGAGGGCAAGGGAGATGGTGCAGGAGAGAGCGGTGGGGGCTGGGAGAGGACCACCGAGAGCCCACCAGACGGGGAGGTCAGCAGGGGGCGTCTGGCTGGGGTCTCGGCCATCCGGGACCGAGGACTCTGGGTACTGGGAATTGTTCTGTGCACTGTAGGATGCTTACCAGCATCCCTGAGCTCTACCCACTAGATGCCAGTAGCATCCCCTTAGTTGTAACAACCAAAAATGTCTCCAGATACTGCCAAATGTTCTGGGGGGTGGGGGAAATCGCCCCTGCTTGAGAACCACTGCCACAGGCTGAGGAAGGGCTGTTAGGCTTCTGTAGAAACCACCTTGATTTCAAGGTGACTTAGGACCAGAGAGAGTGAATCTCAGGGTTCACCACCCCGTCATCTTTCTGTCCACTCTTGTTTTTTTTTGGTAGTGACTGGCTATCAGTATGTGAAAACCCCAGAACCCCTGGATGAGTCACCCAGAGCAGAACTCCACCACAGACCAGCAGTGGGGCTCAATTTGAGACCCCGGAAGGGTGGCCGGACGTACAAGGAGCTGTGGAGCCAGAAAGGCAACCGGGTGGCCTGGCCATCGGGACCTGAGGAACCCAAGATGGTAAGAGCTTGGGGATCAGCTGGTGGGTTGATGCGGGCCCCCTGATGGTCTGGCCTCTCTACTAATGGTGGCCATCTTGCTGGTCAGGGTAGAAATGTGGCCTTCACACACTGGCCAGTGGTGGGTGCCGGGGGCCTAGCCCCACAAGGGGCACGGTTTTCAGAGTTGGCCACTGTAATTTCATAATTGTAAGGTGCCTGGAACCAAAGACTTTTCATTCTGGATAGATGTCTCTCAGAGAAGAGGCTGTTAATTGATAGAAGTGAGCAGGATCAAGGAAGGAGAGTCCACTGACAGGTTCCTACAGCTGAGGAAGAGAGAGTGAAGACACTAGTAGAGGTGCCTGGGTCAAGACCCCATGGTGATGGAGGAGAATGGTGTGTGTTAGGGACCCTCTCCCCGAGGGAAGGTGCTGCTGTGGGGTGGTGTGTCAGCTCACGTGCTGGCTCCCAGAAAATGGTTTCTACTTGGCTGTTGAAAAATGAAAGCTTTTGCTGTACCTGATGAGGCAGTGGGAGATGCTAGTCATGTTTCTGTTCACTCTGCATTTCTGCAGAAAGTTGCCGTCAGACCAAACAACCCAGGAGCTACAGGTAGCAGATCA